TTATATGGTAAGAAAGCGTTCACTCCAATCGATTTCATTGACCAAAGGCTATGAATAACTTTTAGCGCTATAACTCAAACACAGTAACAGTTTTAGTGATGTTTTCCAACTTTTCTACATCGCCTCAAAGCAAATTAATTTATATTACTTTTATATTATATCATAAAATTAGAAATATTCTTTCATATTTTTAAATATCCGAGTAAAAACATCGAAAATTACTAAATTTTAACTAATTCATCTGAATGAATGGTTATTATTAAAGCTATTATTCAGTATTTGTAAAATATGTTTAATAAATTTAGTAAATGTGATGAATGGGCTATGGGTTCAGGAATTTTAAATAGTATTCACAACAAAAACAACTCATTCACTATTCACTAATGAAGGCTATTATGAATTTTTGATTATATCTGAGTTTAACAAATTGCCAAACAGTCGGTCCGCTCGGGATGGGCGCACAATGCTATTCAATGACTGAACAAAACTTTATTCATACGAAACACTAAAAAACTTTTATTTTTGAAAATATTTAGTAAAATAGTTATTTACATTTTTAAATAAAAATATAACAGGGTTAATACCTTCGCATATTACTGTAATAATAAATACATAACTTTTTAAATAAGATTTTAATACAAATGAAGCTATAATTTGGTTAAAGACTTTAAACAAAGTGTTAATTATGTGTTGTTTCCAAAACTGCATTTTCTAATAACATTTTAGTAATTGAGTTTATTTTTATTTTTACTTCACTGTAACAGCAGAATTATTATTAAACTCTAAAAGTATTAATTATTTATATTAACAACAATAAAAGCAAGATTTGAATATTTCATATCTAAATAAGAGTTAGTAAAAACTATTAAACGGCAAATTAAGGACAATCTTGTACGGGCACATGTATGGAAAGTCGTGTTAAAAATAAGATCTCGAATAAATAAAACAAACAAAACAATTCACGAGTAAGTGTTAAAATTTTTTTCCTATTCAAAACTGAATGTAACAAATAATAGAATAATTGGATTATACATACCGTATATAATATTACAGCATATTATATATAGTGTAATATTACATATTATATATACTACTTATGTAATCGAATAAATTAAAATAATAAATGTTTGTCTCGAAGCCATTCGCATGATTTATTACATCTAAACTTTATTTTAAAAAACAAAATAAAATTTGGACTTAAAAATTCATAGTAAAACTCTGTTGAAACTATTTTTGTTAACCGAAAATATGCCGAAAATATATAATTCTTAAGAGCAAAATGATTGTAGACTTTAGGGGAGAGATGCCGAGAGAGAGAGAGAGAGAGAGATAGAGAGAGAGAGAGATCCTGAGAGAGAGAGAGAGAGAGAGAGGGCTGTTGGCATCCAATGCATAGACTTATGGAGAAACCGGCAATTAATGTGTCAGTCGAGGAAAACAGATGAAGTTATCACAGGTTACGGGCCTTCACTTCCTGAGGACTCAAACATGTATTCGTGATGTGGTATTTGTTTTCAGCAATTAATATAAATTATCATAAGATTACTGCCTTTAATAAAGGGGACGAACGCTTTGCCAGCAATTTATTTAAAGCTAATTCATTACACATTGCACTACAAATCACACCCAATATATGCCTTATGAGAGGTACAGTAGACTTGTGTAGACATCTTCGCTAAAAAACATTGCACTGGACGTAAGGCAACTGCACTTCACCTAAACCATGATTATCACAAAATCTCACAAATATTTTCATATAAACTTTTGTCGCTCAAGCGGTCGTTAGCTTTCAATTGTGAGAATTGAATCATTTTTAAATAATTTCTGCTTTGATTAAGTTATCATTATTTTGAATAAATTAATTCAAATTTAACTTCAATTTAAGGATTCTCTATCTATAGTACGATCACTGAGTTAAACAATACATGAATTTTTGATTTGATTCATGCAGAGCATATATATGTTTAACATTATTTATCATATTAAGAACCTATCAATACTTTTTTTTATAGTTTTCTTAAGTTTTTCTTTTTCAACGTTATTTAAATGCAAAAGACTATAATCACAGGTAATTATAGTTTTATGAGATTTTAAAGTAATTTAAAAAATAAAATCCTTTAAAAAATAATTTATCAGAACTTTTTAATACTTTTTAAAATAACCAGCAATTCATATAAGATTATGTAAATATAAAATCCACTCAAAATCTGTATTTAATATATTATTTATTGAACAAAATAAGAAAGAAGAACAAAATAATTGCTTTAATATAAAACTCATCAAAACCTTTGGAAAATTAATTAATTTTCAAATACTAGCTAATAATAATGAATTGGAAATTAGTTGTTATATCAGTTTTATTAGACTTTTAGTCTTCAGATATTGTTGACATATAATAATTGGCTGGAAATATAGCCCTCGGCTTTAATTTAGAAGCAATTCATGACTACTTGGAGAGAGAGAGAGAGAGAGAGAGAGAGAGAGAGAGAGAGAGTTTTAATCACAATTTTTATGTTCATTTGTATAATTATTTTTTTATATTTTCATATAATATTCAATTAATTAATTTTGTTTAAAGATATGTCAAAACTTTAATTGCAATAATCGTTCAAAAAATAAAAAGAATAAAAATCTTCTTTTTCTGTATTTAATTTCATTAATATTTTAATGTGTATTAAATTGATTGCTATATTAAACATGAATACACTCATGTTTACCGTATATATAAATTATATGAGCCTTAAATGTTGCGATCATTTATTTAAACGTATAAATTTGATATTAAACTCAAATAATTGACTAAAAATCGTTGCAAACATACTATGAATTGATTGTGAGCGCAAAGAATAGGTGGAAAAAAGTTGAATATATTTTACATTTCAAACGGAACATGCAATTGGAGAAAATAAGTCAGTATAACAACAATTGATTGAACTTTTTTCTGGTTTTGTTCAATATTTGCCTCATGTATATTACCATTTGAATGGCTTTGCTCCCTGTGCTCTCCCATTGCATGCCAGTCCCGCATGCAATCTCGGCATATATGATATACAGTGTTGACAATAAGGCACTGTTCATAAATCTTTTCTCAAACAGACCTTCTCTCACACCGAGAAAAAGACTTGTTTTGTTATTCTGTGTATAAAACATGAGAGAAATTATTGTAAAATTAGACAATAAGTTGGGATCAAATGCTTTATGATATTGTGTTTCGGCAAAAGGCGTACTGAAAAACTTCTCTATACATTGAAAACGCCAACTCATATTATGCTGTAATGTACTTTAAGTTATATAGTCTTTTGATTTTATGCCCACTATATCAAAATTAATTCAATAGATTTCCAAAAACAGTTTCCAAAGCAATAAATAACTCACTTTTTGGTCATTTATTAATAGTTATAATAATAGTTACGAATCAAATAAAGTGATGCAAAACATTGCTTTCTATTTGTTAATTCAAATGAGAGCTTGAATTACGATATATTAAATGTGTTTGTTAAAAATACCCATTAATTTCTTTGAACATTTAAATTTGAATTACATTTTATGAATCTATAAATGTATTAAAAATTTATATTCAAATGAATTCAAACTAATGTTAGTATAATTTAAAAATATTACTTAATATTGATTCTACTGTATACGCGGAATAATTCATGAGTTTCTAAATAATTATTGTTCAATAAATTTAAATGAGAAAATGATTTGAAAGTTTTGCAATAGTTATCTAAACTTTATCCCAAGTTTACCCTAAATGTATGGCACAATAGGGAGAGCTAGAAAAGTGTTGAAAACTTATTAAGATTTGAATGATTTTTGTGAAGTGTGTTAAGTGCCGACAATCGATAGTATGTATCGATAAATAAGGTTATTATAAATCTATTAACAAAATGCTTGACTTATGGGTTATGCCTATAAAGAAGTGCAGAGAGATTGAGAGGCAGATGTCTTGAGCTGATAGCTGTTTGGCATTAATATATCATTAATCACAGGTTGGATGACATCCTGACAACCGGCTAATCAGTACAGCAAATAGTCTTACATTCTCTCCGTGTCTCACAAGTTATGCCCCAAACAGTCAACTAATGTTTAGTGAAATAAATGGATTCGTCGCTCACTTTATGTCAATATATGTTTCCATTTGTTACCAATGAATACAATGTTATCTAAAATACATTGCATTTCAATGCTCTTATGTTTGCTTATTCTGTCATTTGTCGCAATCAATGATCAAATAATAATTCTTTTTCAAGACTTGTAACGAATTATGCAAATAATCCAAAATGCATGCCATTTAGCACATCAATAGTTTTATAAGCTTGTGAGTAATGTACCAGTGATGTAAACTTGTACCAGTACAAATGTTGAGAGTAATGATTTACTGTTACTATAAGTATTTCATAGAGACTTAATCTCTAGATTTAAAAAAGTTATATTTATGAATAGATGATCTATGTATTTGATATTTACACCATGAGCTAATTAAATGTAAATTAACAAACTTTTCTCAAATTTATAATAATTTTAAACTTTAATTAAAAGCTATAAAGAATACACATTAAAAAAAATTGTTAAACAATAATGATAATCAAGTGAAATATGGAAAACAATTATATAAGTTAGTAAATTAATACCTAATTAAAAATCAAAACTTATAGTCTTTTGAATAAAATCTTAACCAAATTTAAATATTAATTTATTGGAAATAATTAAGTAATTTGTAATAATTAAATTTAACAATTAAAGTTCATTACAATTACAATGTTAGAAAATACAAGTAATAAAAATATAAATAAATTGTGAAAACTACTATGCCTCATGAAAACATAGATTAACATGTAATTTGCTATAATATTGCAGATTTCATAAAATGATCATGTTCAGTTTTCATGTAAGTTAGATCTAAATGAATTGCATTGAAAACTGATTGAAAACTTTGTCGTGTAGTCGTAATTGATGTCTAGCTATGATGCAAAGCAAACACATGTTTAGTTAGCAATGAATTGATAAACATTTGTGTGAAATGTTTTGAATGGGATTCAAATGAAATGATTATAAATACTAACTATTAATACAAAGCATTACGTGATTATCACCGCAAGTGATGTATCGCTTGACGACTAACCGATTCATTCATTTCTATGCAAACACTTTGCAGTCATTTGTACTGAAGGGTAGACCCGTGTGTTTAGCCGTCAATGCCTACCATAACAGCCAATACACCACTCCTTCACAATCACTGTCTGCCGATATCTTGAGGAATGCCGACCGCACTGTCACCAAGAGTTTGGGTATTGTTTTCCACTCAATGTCTCTCATTATCTTCTCCTAACGATTGTCTCATTTGAAGCCGACTTACGGGATAAACGACTGCAACAAATGAAGCGAAGCATACCATCCGGTGATCAGGACGTCCTCAGCGAAGCCATCATCAAGAGTGCCACCGTTGACCAGCTCTTGGAGTTGGTCTCAATGCACGTCAATGTCATGAACAACAGACACCTGTCCGATGTGTTTGAGTCGCTCCACGACATCATCAGAATGTCCGACAATTACAACGACCACTGTCTCAAGATATTGTCGTCCAAAGAGTTCAGCCAATTGTGCAATCAGTCCATCAAAAGGATGCGATTCTTCCAGACCTCGGATCTGTTGACAACTCTTAAGTGTTTGGTTTTGTTAAGACTGTCGCCAAACACAGCGATCGTCAAGAGTTTGCTTCAAATGATTCGTCAACTCATTAACGACTTCTCCTTAAATGAAATCATTTTCTTAGACTTTCTTCTCAACCGAAGACTCATCCAAAGCGATGATGCGGTCAATGAGTCCGAAGTCGTCGACAATTGTATGCATTTTTTATGCATTCCTTGAGTTGTTTCTGTCATTTGTTTGCATTTCATTGCAGTCGACAGCGTAGCCATCGATGACCATAAGTCTCACAGAAAGCAGACAATTGTCCCGTTGATGGAGGCCTTAAAATTGGCGATTCCTCTGGTATTGCAGCTCAAGATTGAGTCCAAAGAACTGGACTTCGATGACATTGATTTAGTGGTGAAATGTCTGCGAACTGTCGCCAAACACAACCTGAAGGATGAAGTGGTGAACCGACTGACGACTGCCATCTCTCACAACATACCCGAGCTGTCAATCAGCCAAATGTTTTCAGTGATCGCGTCGTTGATTTGGGTCTCGTCTCCCAATTCTAACATGAGGTCAGGTCTCGTGGACCGAGTGGTGAACCAATGTTTGGATAGAGTGACGGCACCGGGTATTGTCATTCCCAACAACACGTCCTACAACTTCATAGTATCTCTAATAACACACAAAACTAGACGAGATTTCTACCACAACGGCTTGTATGAGATGGTGGCCAACCTTATCATCCAGAACCCGACCAAAATGCACATTTCAAAGGCAACTGGTGTGTTGTGGGCGCTCACCAAACACTCGCACGTCCACTACGGGCTCCTAGACTTCATGTCCGATAAGATCGCCGCTCGAGATCCCGAGCTCATCGTAACCGCGAAGACTTCTTTTACAAACATTTTGAGTGCATTCTCTTTGCCGTCAAATTATAAGCCAAACGATCCCAACAGTGAATTGGTCTATAAAACCATTTTAGAGTCAAATCACGTGAAACTTTGCAAAGAAAAGACTCAGTTTTTGTTGTTCAAAATGTTGAGACATTTCTTTGTACTTAAATATTATCCAAAACAAGAGATATTCGAGTGGTTTGACAAGTATTTCAATGAAGCCCTCACTTCGTCGACGGTTATTGGCGTGAGAATTGAATTTCTCGACACGATTCGCGTTTTGTATCAGGGATTATGTCTCGAGTCGGATATTACTGATTGCGAGGACTTTAAACTAAAGTTAAAACCTTTTGTCGAAGAGTTGGTTGAATTTGAGACCAAAGAATTTGAAGACTCGTGTAAATCGGAAACATTAGAGTTTGCGTTATCGCAGGGTTTGGGTGGGAAGCAGTACTTTGCCAGCAATTTGTTTACCGATTTCGGGCATCTCGTCGATCACGTAATAGTCATGAGGAAAGGCGGATATCCCGTACCCATCATTAATAAGGACGAGAAGTTGACTTATATTAGTCAACTGGACATCCCTTCCGACGCCAAAATGTATTGCTAACCATTGAATGAGAATTGTTTGCATTTATTCTAATTATGAAATTCTTGACAATAGTTTGGGAATAATTCCGTTGACTTATAAGGACTTCTGTCGCGAACCTAATATCAAAAAAGGCGAAACAGATTTCAGATTAAGAACTCTTAAGAGTTGCGGAATAATTCCAATCACAGTAAGCCATCTGTTGAACCATTTATTGATAATCTAATAAATTATTTCATAATTAATTTCAGATACATGTGGACGGATGGGAAGCATTATCGGAAATGGAGAAAATTCCGTATATTATGAGAGAAATTCAAGAGAATTCTAGTGTAGATGAAAAGCAAAGTAATATTCATTAAATTAATATGAATTTAATGTTTTAAATAAGAATTTATTTAATAAAATCATCATTTGATGTGAAATTTATTAGTGTTTTCAATAAATTAAGCATATATTACCTGTATACCGTATTACGGTTTATTTAATATATTCCATAAGAACTTTATATTCATATTGTGGATAACATAAGAGAAAAAATTTTGTTATTGGTAAAAACAGGTTTGAATACAGTATTACCATTTGGTGGATATAAATAATGTACAAATTAAAATTTTAATATTTTATTGTAAAATTTAGAAATTAACATAATTGGGAATCAAATTAACATAATTAGGAATCAAATTAACTAAATTGTGAGATAAATTCACATAATAATTATTTATTTAATTTAGTTCATTATTAGTAAATTTAGTTCACTAAATTAACTTAATAATGAATTTAATTTACTAAATATTTAACTAAATTAACAATATAGTGAACTAAATTAACTTAATAATGAACTAAATTTACTAATGAACTAAATTAACTAAATAGTGATTATGTGAATTTATCTCACAATTTAGTTAATTTGATTAAGTTAATTTAGTTCAATATATTGTTGATTTAGTTATATATTTAGTTAATTTAGTTGATTATATAATTAAATTTGATTATTATTTAGTAAATTTAGTTCAATATTTTCACAATAAGTGTAATCTGACATTTAAACATTGAAATTATTTATACATTATTTATATCCACCAAATGGTAATACTGCATTTAAACCTGTTTTTACCAATAACAAACTTTTTTCTCTTATGTTATCCACTATACCGTACTGTATAACGTGAATAAAAATTATACTGAAAATTAAACCCATATTAAGCATTATTTTGTAATTAGTTTGTATGGTATCTAAAATCACGCTTACCATTGTTAAATCAAATTATCAATCATAAGAATTTATTTAATAAAATCATCATTTGATGTGAAATTTATTAGTGTTTTCAATAAATTAAGCATATATTACCTGTATACCGTATTACGGTTTATTTAATATATTCCATAAGAACTTTATATTCATACCGTACTGTATAACGTGAATAAAAATTATACTGAAAATTAAACCCATATTAAGCATTATTTTGTAATTAGTTTGTATGGTATCTAAAATCACGCTTACCATTGTTAAATCAAATTATCAATCATTTAGTAAATTGTTATACAATTTAAATGTAAATACAAAATGTATTGAAGACTGTCTTACGTGCACAACGCGGTTGTATTGCAGTGAAAGCGCATTGCATTTGAGCACAGGTTTCATGTATGGGAGAGAGTGTTGTGGTGAGTGTTGTCTGCATTACAGCAATACATCACTCATTGCCTGACATTTTGCTGCATTCAGTCGATTGCAGACTCAATACATCCAACCATTCATCCGATTGTCTCATCGCTACCACTCCTCTAATCTCAGTCAACCATCACTTAGAGTGTGTTTAGTGATAGTGTCACCACAAATGCCATCCAAAGCCGAAGACATCCTCAGCGGGTTCCGAGTGTAAGCCAATTGACAATCGTATGAATAATTAATGTGTGGATCCATTGAATCCATTGAATGCAGAAATTGGATGAATTTGAGGGATGCCGACAATGGCAGGATCATCTGGGAGGAGAGCACCGACCTGTATGTCACCATTAGCTCCACATCACCACATGTCACCACTAATTACTTTGATTTTCTCTCCACAGATCCAAACCAGACCAAGAACACGAAGGTTTGTCTTTGATTATCACATAAGGATTGTCTTTGATTCCTAACTCATGTCCCGATGTGTCTGTAAATGACAGCTCGAGTGCCAAAGTCTATACTCAAATGCAGAGCCGTTTCCCGTGAAATCAACTTCTCTTCAGTGGAAGCGATGGAAAAGTTTCGATTAGAACAGAGGGTTCTCTTCAAAGGCAAATGTCTCGAAGGTTTGACCATTGATTGCATTCATTCATGTGATGATCACAATTGGTTTTGTCTTTTTATGTGCAAAGAGTGGTTCTTTGAGTTCGGATACGTGATCCCCAACTCGACCAACACATGGCAGTCGCTTATAGAGGCGGCTCCAGAGAGTCAGATGATGCCCGCGAATGTACTCAAGTATGTCATCAGACACAGCCAGAGATAATTGTCACTTAAACTAATCCCAATTCCTTTGCTATGCCATCAGCGGTAACGTTATAATTGAGACCAAATTCTTTGACGACGACCTCTTAGTGAGCACTTCAAAGGTTCGCCTCTTTTACATCTGAGAGTCATTTGGATTAAGTGTTGAAAACATTTGTGAATATCTGTCATCCATTACATCCCTTTCCTATTCTTACGGCATATCGTGGTTACTGTTCACTCGACGTGTGTTTCAATAATCCATTATTTTGTGTGATTCAAAGAGATCCATAATTTTGTTAAATATAATTGTTTTGATGTTAATTTGAGTCATTATAGCAAAGATTTTCTATAAATTTACTCAAATGTTGATTATATGATATCCTCTATAACACCATAAGTTAACAATTTTTCCATTTCTTAAGTAACTATTTACTCGTCTGAATATTGTCTCAAAATATCTCAATTGCAAAGATTTTTCCAATTTTTTAAATCAAACAAACCATTTGTTTTTCAAATACAAATCTAGTCTTAAATATGACTCAATCAGAAACTAAATGACCTCTTTGTACACTATTCATAAACACTAAATTCATTTTTAATTTCAATAATACTGCCTTAAAATATTTTAACATTCATACAGAAACTTTATCCCGTATTTTTAATTTCCTTTAATGTCAAATTTTAAATAAACCTTGCGTAATTGTATTTTTCAAATTGAATTTATCCCACTATCTAACATAGGGTACTTTTAGTAATAATCTATAACATGGTAAGTTACTGTTAAATTGAATGTGCCCTATTATTTAGTATAATGTAAATCAAGAGGTCATACAGTTTTTGATAGACGCGTGTATTTAATTTTAAAAATATTATAACTAACTTTATTATGCTTTAAATATCAATCGATTAATTGGTTAGTTTTAAGCCCATTG